AAGCTCTGTTTTGAAAAAACAAAACCAAAAACCAGAAAGGAAAAAGGAAGAAGGAAGAAGTTCCTGTGGGCACTTAGGAACAAAGAGCACGTGATTGGTGAGGTAAAGAAAGTGGTGGTGTCGTGTTCTGTCAGATTTTTTTTCTCACTAGTATCATTTTACAGCAGAAAAGCAATGCCTTGGTTCATATGCCCAAGAGGACGCAAGCAGAGGGATTTATGTTCAGGAAAATGAGTTTACAGAAGGAGAAGTGTGTAAAGACACAAAAAGTCACCAAGCTGTGGGAGTCAGAAGCCATTGCTGCAGAGTCCCCCACTCCCCGCAAAGAATCTGACAGAGAGGAGAGTGCAGAGCACCAGGGTGACCAGGGACTCAACACAGGGACTGTGTGGTCACCTAACAGCCTACAAAAAGAAGTGCTAGCCACATGCTCCAGCAAGGAGACATGGCATGGTAACAGGGAAGACAGGGAAAGCTGATGAAGAGGGAGACAGACAGGAAAAGCATCTGGGAACTAGGAGTGGCTTCCACGCCTGTAAGACCAGCACTCAGAAGGCTGATGCAGGCGGATCTTGAGTTCAGTGCCAGACTGGGCTACACAACAATACCTTGTTCCATGAAGAAAAAAAAAATATAGCAGTTTTCAGTGGTCAAAATTGGTATCACATTGACCACCACCACCATCATTACTTTTTGAGAGATATGGTCTGATGTATTCCATGAGAGCCTTGGATGTAACAGGTCTTTCTTTGGACTGCCAGCCCCCAGGTAATGACATGGAGACTTCTTATTAATAATTCTTATTATGATAGCTTGGCCTTTGCTTGGACTTGCTCCCAACTAGCTCTTATAACTTAAATTAACCAAATTAACCTGTTTATATTAATCTATGCTCTGCCACGGAGCTCGTTACCTCACCTTGTTACTGTCCATGTCCATCTTCCCAGAGTGCCTATTTCTCCCTGAAGTCCCGCCTATCCTCTCCTGCCTAGCTATTGGCTGTTCAGATCTTTATTAAACCAATCAGAAGATACCTAAGGCAGGTGAGGTTAAACAGACACATTTTCATACAGTGTACAAAAAAAAATTATCCCAACACTTGAAATAAATACGTAGCTAAAGATGACCTTGAACTTCTGATTCTCCCACCTTCAGATCCCAAGTGCTGGGATTATGGGTGTGAGTCACCATACTCAGTTATATGTGATTGCTAGAGGGTCAAACCCAGGGATTCATGCGTACAAGCAAGCAAAAACAATCTCTAATGACTGAGCTACAGCTGGGGATGCAACTCAGTGGTAGAGCATTTGGGTGCATTAGAAGGTCCTAAATTCAACCATTGAGTTGAAGGCACATTGACAACTAGTGAAGATATTAATAATAATAATAATAATAATAATAATAATAATAATAATTTTTGAGATAGGGTTTTTCTTTGTAGTCTTGGCTGTCCTGGAACTTACTCTATAGATCAGGCTGGCTTCAAACTCACAGAGATCTGCCTGCCTCTGCCTCCTGAGTGTTGGGATTAAAGGCGTGCACCACTATGCCCTGCTTGGTGAAGATATTATTAATGTCACAAGATTGTAATGTGTCAAATAATAAAATGGGTATTAATAGGAGATTTAAACTGTTAGGGATTAAATCTCCTTCTTAAGACTTCTTCTTAAGCTTCTTTTTAAGCCCTTGACTATCAGGATGCCTGACCTGGAGGAAGTAAATAAGATAGAAATGGTTTAAATAAAATTGAAATGGGTTAGGAATAAGAAGAACTATAGTAGTATTCTAAATTAAGACCATCAGTTGGAGCTTTTGCTTTGCATATTATATATGTTCTGACTGTGTCTGCTGAAAAACCTACCTAGAACAAACACACGACAGCAAACAGATGTCAACTTAAAGGGCTGTGTGAACACAAGGGCTCACATTGGAAAACTTGCAGAAGAAAATGAAAGAAGAGAAATGTCTTCACGAGCTTGAGGTAGAAAAGAAAATGTTTAGGATGAAAAGACTATTAACCAGTGAAGAAGAATGGGACTTCATTCAGCTAAAACCACTTGCAGCATTAAAAATTAAAATGACCACTTAAAATAAGTGGATTTTATGGATTATAAATTATACCTCAATAAAGCTGTTATAAAATTTAAATTAAGAATAAAGCAGTACTAGTGAAAATTAGCTCTCTTATTGTCTAAACAAAGTGGGAAGTAGATGAGGGTTTGTAAATTCTCAACACCGTGTGGGAAAAATGCTCTCAAGCCGTGCATTCCTCCATGCAATAGGTCAGAAAGATTTGAGTGAGTGAAGATGTGCGACCGGCCAGTAGAGAGTAGATAGCACCGCAAACCCTACAGAAACAGCTGCTGTCCTGCAAACACTGCGTGCAGACAGTGTTGGGGAGGCAGGTCTGCGCATGCACTGTTGGCGGAGTGCAGAAAGGCAAAGTCACTTTGGAAAGTTCTTAGAAACTTACCCACGATGTGGCTCTCCACAGTTCTACTCTTAGGCTCCTCCCAAAGAGAAATGGAAACCTAAAACCTTAGGAGACACACAACAGTATGTGACTGTCTGTCTGCTTGTCATTACCATAACAGATGCCTGGGATAAATCAGCCAGTAAAAATAAAAGGCTAATTTAGGCTTAAGGATTATAACTCATTGATGGTTGGTTCCACTGCTGCGGAGACTATGGCAAGCAGTACATCGTGGCGGGGACCTTGTGGTGGCATAAAACTTCTCACTTCATGGATGGATCAGGAAGTGAGAAAGAGAGAAGAGGGAACCAGAATCTCATAATCCTCTTCATGGACATGCCTCCAAAGACCAAAATTTCCCAGTATGCCCATCTCTTAGATTTCGCATCCCCAGGTAGTGTCACAGGGAAGGCAAGGGAGGAGAGAGGGAACCGAGGTAAGGGAAAGCTTTACTGTGTTGACAAGGTGGGTCTTGGGACCACTTCGCAGCCACAAGGGAGACACCAGCGTTCCAGGGGAATGAGATGAGGGTGGTTCACAATTCGGAAGATTCCAGTCTGAGAGCACTGGTGGAGCGTTGGAGGAAGGATTTGCTGACAGATCCAGGATTAAGTATGTGTGGTATAATGACACAGGAATATATATCTGATGTCTACACACCACTCCAAGTGTCCCAGAGAGCTCTGACGTGATGATAATCTCTTGTATGCTAATGAGATGACTGGGGATAGGGCTGTCCCAGACGGGATGGGGTTCAGGTTTAAAAGGATTTGTTTGGTTGAATACCTAGAGGTTCCTGGAGAGGGGCCCATCCAGAAAAGGCAGGGAACTTGGTCCCTTCCCTGTCCCTGGCCGTGTGTGTCTCTTTCACCTGCCCATTTACTTTTGTATCCAGGGTTACACCCTCTACCACCTATGGCTAAACTGTTTTCCTGAGGTCTGTGGGCTCCTTCAGCAAAGTAATCAAGTCAGATCAAATCAAATCTCTTTATAGCCGGTCAGTCAGAGTCACAGGTAAAACCACCAGGGGCTTGTGATTGATGTCAAAGAAGGGGGTGACCTCAGGGGACCAAACACTCCTGCCTGCAGTAATCTGACACTACCTGAGCAGCCTGTGTCAGAGTTGGGTTACAGGATGCCCAGCTGGCGTCTGCTGAAGACTTGCTGTGTGGAGAAACCACACACAAACACACAGCTGATGCCAAAGGTATTGTGAGGGATGATGAAAGAGCTGTCGTCTGTTCTGCCCCTGGTAGTGTGGGCAAGCGAAGCACAAAGATTCTTTCAAGAGAAGAGAGGTAGGTGTTCAGGGGAGACAGACTCCAGGAAGCAGGCCCATCCTGAGCTCTGGCCAGCGTGAGTTACTGTGCAGCCCTATGGCTAGCCAGATCCTAGGAGACGCATAGTTGTGGTAAGGAGGAGGGGCCATTAACACCTGACATTCCTTCTTCTGGTTATTCCTGTTTATTTAGGTCACCTCCCATGTCCCTATCCTTCTGACCACCTGGTCACCTTCTCCAGCAGTTAGAGTAACCCTGGGGCCAATATAATCCATGAAGGAGGGGCAAGGTGGCTAAGAGGGTGGTGCTCCATTGTCCTGCCCTATTGTGGAACAATTATGAAAGGTACTCCAAAGAATCACGAAGAGCTGCGGCTCTCAACCTGTGGGTCGAGACCCCTTGGGGTCACATATCAGATAATCCACATCAGATAGTTATCCATATGATAATCCACATATCAGATATTTATATTATGATTCACAACAGAGAAGAAAATGAAGTTATGAAGTAGAAACAAAATAATTTTATGACTGGGGGTCACCACAACATGAGGAGCTGTGGTGATGGATTGCAGTATTGAGAAGGTTGAGAACCACTGCCTAAGAGGGTCTCGGGGAACTGGGCCCCCCTGACCACTCCTCACTCTCTCTTGAGTGAATGAGAAACATCAGTTCTGGGAGGACCCGGCCACCACGGGATGGCTGATGAGGGCAGCCGGGGTGACTGTGCTGATGTGCTCAGGGTAGAGGAGACAGTCTCAGCTCTGTGCTCCAGAAGCTTCACTCCCAAATCCACAGAGTAAGACACAGAACTAGAGTTCTACCTGGAAACTTCTGCCATCATTAGTTTTTAGTATTGGCTGGACACAATCAACAGTCATTTAGATGGAGCTGGAGAGATGGCTCAGCAGTTAAAAGCACTGAATGCTCTTTCAGAGGACCTGGGTTTGATTCCCAGCACCCACATAGTGCCTCACAACCACCTGCAACTCCACTGTGGGGTGTTCAATGCTATCTTTTGGTCTCTGTGGGCACTGCACACATGCGGTACACAGACATACATGCAAATACCCATATATATATATATATGTATATACACAACACAATCATATATAATAATATGTAATTATATATACTAAAATTACATATATAATATATATAACAAAGGAGCCATCCAAGATGAGGGAGTCTCATTTGAAGGAGTGCCCAAATCAGACTTGTTGTTCCTTTTGGAAACTACAGCTTCCAGACTCCTCCTGGATTACGGATACCTGCGCGCGCGGGCGTGCACAGGTGCAGGACATTTCTCCCAGATACCCTTGCGCTTCTCATTAAAAAGCAAGCTTCCACGCGGTCTCTCTCTCTCTTGCCCTTTACCCTTGTGTGTCTTGCACACCTGTCCCTTATTGGGGCCCCCCCTCCCCCCCCATTAAAGTGCACCCACGTGGGAGCCGCGTGTCTGTGTCTCCTCCTTTCGCACGTGTCTTGTCTGTCCTGTGTTTGTCTACACACACCCACTTTAAAAGAATAATAAGACTGACCCGTAACTATCCTGTCTGTGGAGAATTGTCTTGATTATTGATTGATGTGGGAGAGTCCAGCTCACTTTGGACAGCACCATTCCAGGCCAGGAGTCCAGGATTGTATCAGGAAGCTGGCTGAGCACAAACCAGAGGGGAGTGAGGCGGCAAAGCAGCCTTAGTCCCCGGCTTCTGCTTCAGTTCCTGCCCTGACTTCCCCCAGTGATGGACGGTGGCCTGGGAGGTGCAGCTGCAATAAACGCTTTTGTCCTCAAGCTGTTCCCAGTTAGTGGTTAACACAGCAACAAAGAGGCAAACTAGGCTGACTCCCTTCTTTCTGCCGACCCTCTGAGCTCCCTAGCACCGTCCAGCCAAATGCCAAAGACCATGGCACTCTTTTTCCTCCCAGCTCTGGAGACCAGGGGTGGATAGAACTGGTTTCTGATGAAGCTTCTCACTTGGCTTCTCCATGCTGTCTTCTCCTGTGTCTCACATGATCCTCGGTGTGTGTCTGTGTTCGAATGTTTTCTTGTGAAGACACAGCTGAAGCTGAGGAGATGGCCCTGGCTGTGCTATCTCTAAATTTAACCCTCGCAGAACAGTACCTGCTGTGCCAGTATGAGGACCGGAGTTTGAATCCCCAGCGCCCATATAACAAACAGGGCTGGAGGGCAGAGATGAGGGGATGCAGGTGGGAGGGCTCACTGGGCAGCTAGAAAGGAGGAGATCCAGGATTAGGGAGAGACCCTGTCTCAAAAAATCAGGTGGGGAAGTGATTGAGAAAGACATCCGATGTCATCTTTGGCTTCCACAGACATCCTCATGCACACACACACACACACATCAGAAAAAGACACAATTATAGTGAATGAGGTTTATCCTAACACCTTCATTTAACCAATTATCTCACTGGAGACCCTGTCTTCAATTAGTCACAATCTGAGGGGCAGATTCTGAAGTGTGGATTGAGGTAGGAGCCCCAGTCAGATACTATGGCTCTTTTATTTCGAGTAGACTACTATTCATTTGACCTGGGGATCGAGCAAATGCAGAAAGGCTTACCTTAGCCACCTCACGGATGGCACAGGGCTCTCTCAGCCAAACCTCTCTTCCTAAGTGTGCACTCCCGGTTTCAAATGCCAGGGACACGGCTGTCCCGTCTGTTGTTCACCTGGCTGTGAACTTTACCCCCTGAGAGGCTTTAAAATTTAAATCCCCTTGCAGAATACTAATTCTGCTTGCCCCTTTCCTATCCCAGGCCCCCAAGGAGTTGGTGGTAATTGAGACCCAGCCATACAGTCCTCTCACAGGCAGCCTTGGGTTCCCAAGGTGTAGGTGCGGTGGAGTGTTTTTATTTGCATTTTAACGGCTTCAAACTCCAGAGCTGTCCCCCTGAGCCCTGGAGGGGCCTGAACTCTTTCCATTCCACCTGTCGCCGGCTGACACAGAGCTCCATTTGTGTCCCCATGGCTGTGGGGGAAATGGCTAACCCTGCACCGCCGCATCCACCAACAGGCCACAAAAAGCCCAAACATGAGGTGCAGCTCAAAACAGGCCAGGCTGCAGCTCTGCCAAGCCAAACAGAGAGGAAACAAGCCCAAGCCTGCAGAGAAACCAGATTCCCCTGAAACGGCTGCTCCCTGCTGCGTCTGGAAGGCCCGTTCCAATAAAGCAGCTCTGAATGGCCCCAAGGACCCCCATGGCCCTCATCTTGATGGAGGTGCCAATAAAATTCTCAGAACATCCAGGCTGCTGGCCCTGTAGGCACTGCCCGGACGTAAACCAGCTATGAGCAGCTGGGGAGTGAAAGGGGAAAGGCCTGCTCCTGACAAGGCCCACCAGCCAGCAGCTCACAGGCCAGAAAGTAACAGAGAAGCCATTAGGGAGAGGGAGGGCAAGGTGACTGAATGGGAGGGGGGAGTCTGCCACCTTTCCAGGCCTCTGGTCCAAAACCAGGCCCAAGCCATTAACTCCATTGGAGCTTCAGGAAGGAGCAATGGCTGCCAGCAAACACAGGTTCCTAGAGGAATCTTGGGGGAAACAACCTTAGGAAACAACTGCAGGCCTAAGGGCCTTTGAAGGTGCCTTGGAGATGCAGTATGCTGGTCCACAGAGAGGGGAGGGGTGTGTGTGTGTGTGTGTGTGTGTGTGTGTGTGAGTGTGTGTACATGTGTATGCATTTGCTTGCATATGTGTGGATCAGAATCCAGCCACTAGACACACCAGTA